CCTCTGCGCCTTCTACACCGGGTCCTGCCGGGCCCTGCAAGGCCACGCTGCCTGCACCCGCCTGGCTGAGCAGACCTGCCATGCCAGGACTAGACGATGTGGTGAGCCAGGGGGTTGTGCTGGGGCAAAGGTGTGGGGAGGGACTTCGTTTCTGGCAGCATGGGGCTGACATGGGGCCAGGGCCATGGATCTCTCACGGTGCCCACAGAGCTGCGCTCGTATGCCCAGACCTTGGTAGATCTCCTGCGCAGAGCTGGGGACTTCATCCGAAACCAGCTGGATTTCTCCTTCTTCACCCATGCTCTGCCTCAGCTCCTGGGCAAGATCTATGGGCATCTCTTCCCCCACCGTGTCCGCAGGGATGCCCCAGGTATCCTCCTGTGCTGGCCCACACCATGCCCACTTAGGATACCATTGGTTCCCCTGTGCTGGTGGCCAGGTCACCATCGGCCTGCCCTGGCACCCCCATGGGGATCCCCTACCTCTTGTCCCTTCTGTTCCCTTCTTATCCCCACAGGCCCAGCTGTGGCAGAGGGTCAGCCAAGCCCCATGGCAGAGGGACCCCAGAGACGCCCCACCAGGTGAGGCATGGTGGGCTATGGGACAAGAGGGGCTAAAGGGTTTGGGGAGGTGGGCAAGATCTCTGTGGGTGCTGACATGGCTTTTTGGTGACAGCCTAAAGCTTTGGAGTCCTGCTTTTCCTGCAGCCAGGGCACATCTGAAGGGAGGTGGGCATGGTCCCCTGGGTGCCACCAAAGCCCTGCAGGGGGTATGCGAGGTGGCACTGCCCAGGGGATGGGTGCCACCAGATGCCTGCCTGAGCTCGCCCCGCTGTGCTTGCAGGCAGGGAGTTGGGCAGCTGCCCCCCTTTGCAGGGCTCTTTGGTGCTGTGGGACGCAGGTTGCAGGACTGGGTGGAGGCGCTGAGGGCCATGGACGGTGGCAGCCCCCTGGCACCCATCCCGGATGCAGGGCAGCTCCCCAGGGAGACATGGCTCTTCCTGCAGGTACGCAGGGATGGACGGGCTTGGGAGGAACCACTGCCCCAGAGTTCAAAGTTCCCCTGTGTCTGCTCCTGTCATCCCCTGATTCCATCATCCCCTGTGCAGCCACAGATGTGGCATCTCCTACTCTGCCACCACAGATAGGGCATTTCACCCTCCCTAGCTGAAACCAATGCTCCCAGTCAACCAGTGCACAGCCAGTACTGGGTCTGACCTTGCGGCTTAGAATCCGACCCAACAAAGCCATGAAGCAGTCATTTGTCCCTGATGCCCTGTCTGACACCAGTCCAGCTATGCCCTACATTCTGCCACTGCACACTTGGCCCACAGGTGCCCGTGAGTGCCCCAGCACCAACCCTATCCCACACTTCTCTTCAGCAAGGCAAGGAGGAGGTGGAGGAGCTGGTGGGACAGGGACGAGCCTTCCTTGCCCAGCTGCGGGCAGAACTGGACCTTGGCACCTCCCTTGAAGGCATGGAGCTGCAACAAGCACCCGGAGAGCTGGCAGGGACCCCCACACCAAACCGTGAGCTCCAGGAGCTGGGGAGCTGGAGTCGATGGGGCAGCGGGGTGTCCATCTGCTGGCCAGCATAATACCTGAGCAGAGCACATCAGCCATGTTCCCACCATGGTTTTTATGCCTCTCTCAGTGGCAGAGTCTGCACTGAGGGAGAAACGTGAGGTGGTGCCTATGGAACTGCCAGGGGTGGAGGAGGAGGAGGAGGCAGGTGCAGGCAGAGGTAAGTGCAGGCAGCCCCAGGATGCCCCATGCCATGGGGATGGTGACAAGCCCTCCTCAGCTTTGCATTCTGGTCCCATGTCAGTGGGACAGCCCTTGCCCATACCCTGCTCCACAGGGACCCTCTGCCCCTGTTTCCCCCGCACCCCCAGAACATGGGTGCTCCTCCCACCTCTCTCCTGCCCACCCCAGGGGTTGCAGCCTGCCCTGGCCTCAACAAGTCAGCGGTGCAGGTGGATGCTGTGCGGGAGCTATATGCCTGGGTACTGCGGGTGCCCGAGCCAGACCTGGCCATGACTTTCCAGGAGGTGAGTGCCCTGTCCAGCTACTCCAAGCCCCGACCCTGGCAGCGAGACGGTGCCACCTCCCAGCCCATCACTGCCCCACTGTGCTCCTGGCACCCCTGGGACTCACCACGTTGCCATCTTCCCGCAGATCCTGGTGGACTTGGGCTCCAAAAACGCCAAGGGACTGTACCAGGCGCAGGTGCGGGCCATGGTGGGGGGCCGCCCCACAGTATTCACTGGCCTTGTGGGGCTGGAAAGTGACTCACTAGCCCGCAGCATGCCTGGTCTCATTGCTCTGGCACTTGAGGTGCTGAAAACCTAAAGGTGCCCCTGGGGCACCGTGCCAGCATGGCGACAGGGTGCTGGGGCAGGGGTCTCCCATGTCCTTCAAACACAGCCCACTCCCCAGCTCAAGCTCTTCCACCCTTTTGTCCCCCATTGTGCCTCAGTTTCCCTCTTCCCACCAGCACTGCCCAGCCTACCCAGGGCCATGGGGCACCAAGGGGCACCTGGAATATCTCATCTGGGGATCATGGCCCTCATCTCCCCTGGGACCCCCATCTTGGAAAGCCCACCCCCATTTTCCCCATAGGCACCTAGGCTGTTATTTATTTGTACAGAGAAAGGTTTATTTTTCAATAAAGAAGGGCTCTATTTTCCAGTAGCTGGTGAGTGCGAAGCAAGTGCTGTGCCATAGGGTGCCAGTGATGTGGGGGCCAGGGGGGGGACTTCCCATGGGGGATATGACACCCCATTGCATCCCCCTTCCTACTGCTCCTGTACTCTGAAGCAATGCCCCCAGCCTTGCTTCCTGCCCCTAACATCAGTTCCTGCTCAACCTGGCACAGGCTCCTCAGCCCACTGCCCAGGGGTTGGACTCCCCTCCTGCCCACTGCAGCACCCATAGCACAGCACCAGTGCCTATCCCCGGTGGCACCCCCTCGGGGCCCACATGAAACCTCCTGCTGGTGCAGGTGCTGAGACTGCCCTAAGCCAGTGATGAGTGCTGGGGTGGTGCCACCCCTGTGCTTGGATATCTGTGGGTACCAACCCCTCCTGCTTGTGAGGAGCTACCACCCTCAAGCAGCACTGCTGGGGCTGCTGAGCAGCAGGGAAGGGACCGCTCCTCCCAGTGCCCCGCAATGCTTGTGCTGGGGTGCCCAGGCACAGGGTGATGGGCTGACATCCATGGAGCCAGCAAGGCCAGCTGTGCCTGCCCATCACCCCTTCTGTGGGTGCACGGGGTGCTGGAAGAGAGGGGTGGGAGCAGGATTCCAGTGCGGGTACCCTTCCCCCTCAGCACCTGGCACCATCCATCTCCCGCTCCATCCGGCAGCCGGACATCCGCTCAGCCAGGCCAGGCAGACACGACACGAAGGCACTGCGGGCATGTGGGACCTGCTGGGGCGGCTGGCCCTGCTCGGGGCACTGGTGCTGTCAGGTGAGAGGGACCCGGGGTCTTGGACATTGGGTTGCCCCATTTAGGGGGTTCTTGGCCCCCTCAATAGGGTCACGGAGGGGGAGTGATGGTGGCAGGATCTGGGCAAGAGTGTCCCCAGGGCTGCACTTTGGGTATTGCTTGGCAGAGTCCCATCACTGAGCATCCCCTGTGCTTCTGTCCTGGCTGGGCCACCGGAGCTGCGTCCCTGCCTGGGCTGTGTGTGTCTTCACAGTGTCACTGTGTCTGTGTGTCCCTGTGTGTGCACAGGGGACAATGTGTATGTGCACAGTGAAACTGCCTCTATGGCCACATGTCCATGCCTAGACTGTGTCCATGTCCATCTGTCCATATGTGCCTCTGTGTGTGCATCCACTCGTGTACAGTGCCACTGTGTCTGTATCCAAGTGTCCTATGTCCATGTGTCCCTGTGTGTGCTGGGTCTATATCTTTGTATCTGTGTCCATGCCCACATCCTTGTTACATGGCCATGTGCCCCTACATGCCTGCCACGCCTGCATGTCTCATGTCCATGCCTCTGTGCAGCACTAACATGTGGTGTCTTGCCCTGCTTCTGTCCTCTCCATCCTTAATCCACTCTGTCCTCACTGCGCATCTGTGTGGGGTGATACTTGGCCCAGTAACTCCCCAGACCCCCCAGTTTGCCTGACCCCACACCCCCCAGGTGGGCTCTGTGTGAACCAGGAGGAACGGCTCATTCACCACCTCTTTGAGGAGAAGGGCTATGACAAGGAGATGCGCCCTGTCACCTCCAATGACGAGGTTGTGGACGTCTACCTCGCTCTCACCCTCTCCAACCTCATCTCGCTGGTGAGTCCCAGCAGGCAATGCCTACCATGGGGTGCTCCCCAGCTATGTCTCACCTGCAGGGCTGTCTGGGTTGAGGGACCCCTGAGGCTGCTGCCCCAAACCTTGGCTGGCTGGGGTGGTGGGTCGTTGGCTGGAGGATTGCAGCTGCTCAGCATGTCCCTGGCATCTCACTGCCCCACGCTGTTGTTGCAGAAAGAGGTGGATGAGACGCTCACCACCAATGTATGGCTGGAGCATGTGAGTAGGGGCAGGCATCACAGCACCAGTTGTGTCCTGAGGGATGAGCAATGGGGTGGCCCAGTGTAGTGACACAGTAACCTGGAGATCCACTCCCTCCAGGGCTGGACTGATTACCGCCTGCAGTGGAACAAGTCCGAGTTTGGGGACATCGAGGTGCTCCGCCTGCCACCAGACATGCTGTGGCTGCCTGAGATAGTCCTGGAGAACAAGTGAGCTGTGCCTCAGTTTCTCCTCCCAACTCCTCTGAGCTGTGCCTGGTGCATGTCCAGGTCTCTCCCTGCCTCTTGCTGGCCCCACCATCACCTCATCTCTCTCCTGGCATAGCAATGATGGACTCTTTGAGGTCGCTTACTACTGCAATGTCCTCATCTACAACACGGGCTATGTCTACTGGCTGCCGCCCGCCATCTTCCGCAGTGCCTGTCCCATCAATGTTGACTTCTTCCCCTTTGACTGGCAGAACTGCACCCTCAAATTCAGGTGCTGGGGGGCTGGCTGGGACAGGGGCAGGCAGCAGAGTGGGCATACTGGCTCCCTGCAGTGCCTGCTGCTGCCAGCACCTTCCCTTGTTGCTGGGGTGCAAGCAGGTGGGGGTTTGCAGATGACTCAGTGGCCTGAGTCCATCATGCTGGAGGTCAGGGTGGGTGAGTGGTGGGTACCAAGCAGCAGATGCAGCCCCTCACTGCCTGTCCTCTCTCTGTCTGTGGGTCAGCTCGCTGGCATACAGTGCCCTGGAGATCAGCATGCACTTGAAAGAGGACAGTGACCCAGAGACTGGCAAGTATTACCCAGTGGAGTGGATTATCATTGACCCTGAAGGTTTCACAGGTAATGCTTGTGTTCTCTGACGTGTCCTGTGGCAACAGGACAACCTATACGGGGCTCAGGGGCACCCTGGCTTGGGGTACCCTGCTACGGACACACCGGATTACCTGGGGCTTTAGAACCCTGGCACCCATCCACCAGGCTTAGAGCTACCCAGACCCAGGATGGGAAGACTGGTGCTGCTGGGGCTGGTGAGGATGGGCATAGCAGGGGTTCCCCATGCCACGTACTGTCCTATCTGTCCTGGCAGAGAATGGGGAATGGGAAATAATCCACCGCCCAGCCCGCAGGAACATCCACCCTGAAAACCCCCCTGAGAGCAGCGAGCACCAGGACATCACCTTCTACCTCATCATCAAGCGCAAACCACTCTTCTATATCATCAACATCGTCGCGCCCTGCATCCTCATCGCCTTCATGGCCATCCTCGTCTTCTACCTACCCGCTGACAGTAAGTGAGCCCCATGGCACCCATGGGGCACCTCCATGTCCCTCACTCACTTCAGATCCTGGGACATATGGACACCCCAATGCCCAGAATGGGAACATCCTGGTACTGGAACACCCCTGTGTAGGACACCATCATCCCAGCCAGGCACCCTGGCAGGGGCACACTTGAGCACAGGATACCCCTTATCTGGGGTACCCCCATAGTAGAAAACCCTCTATGGGGCACTGCATGGTGGGATAGTGGGCAATCCTGGCACTGGGAGCGCTGGGACAGGGATCTGGGGCAAGGTTTGCACTGAGCTCACCTGCTATCCAGGTGGTGAGAAGATGACCCTGGCGATCTCGGTGCTCCTGGCCCAGTCCGTCTTCCTCCTGCTCATCTCCCAGCGCCTGCCTGCCACCTCCCATGCCATCCCCCTCATTGGCAAGTGAGTCCTGGGCACCACTGGGTGCAGTGGGGACATCATGGGGTCTCCACGGTGCCAGAAGGCAACTCCACCTGTGCCCAGCCCCTGCAGCAATGCCAGCTCCAGGTCTGTGTCCCACACAGGTATCTGCTTTTTATTATGCTTCTGGTGACAGCTGTGGTGGTGATCTGCGTCGTGGTCCTCAACTTCCATTTCCGCACCCCCAGCACCCACATCATGTCCAACTGGGTCAGAGAGGTGAGTGGGGTGCTGGGCTGGCATGGGTTAACTAGTGGGTACAGGGGTGAAGGGCATGGGACAGCACAGCCCCGGCACAGCATTGGGGTGTCCCATCTGTACCACTCCAAGGGCTTGTACACCCAAGTTGGGAGCAGAAGGTGGGGACAAGGTGGCGTTGCACTGGGGAGGTGGTTAAGGGACCTGACAGCCCCTTCTGTGCCCCCAGGTCTTTCTGGAGAGCCTGCCCCGCCTGCTGGGCATGTCACAGCCAGTTGAGAACCCAGCGGGTGCCCCATGCATCCGGCGCTTCAGCTCAGCTGGCTACATCGCCAAAGCAGAGGAGTACTTCAGCGTCAAGTCCCGCAGCGAGCTCATGTTTGAGAAACAGTCAGAGCGGCACGGGCTGGCCAGCCGCATCACCCCTGGCCGTGAGCTGCTGGGGAAGGGTGGCAGAGCAGGGTTCTCCAGAGGTGGCAACCCTTCAGACCACATCTCACTGCCTCTCTTGCCCCCAGGGTTGCAACCACTGGCCATGGGCACAGGCAAGGAGCAGCTCTATGAGCACATAAAACCTGTTGTTGATAATGCCAACTTCATTGTCAAGCACATGCGGGAGCAAAACAGCTACAACGAGGTGGGGGCCATGAGCACAAGATGGGCAGAGGGAGCTCCCTGTGCCCACTGTGCCTCCCAATGCCCAGCTTCTGGCTCCCTCCCCAGGAGAAGGACAACTGGAACCAGGTGGCCCGGACCCTGGATCGCCTCTGCCTTTTCCTCATCACCCCCATGCTGGTGGTGGGCACCCTCTGGATCTTCCTGATGGGCATCTATAACCACCCGCCGCCACTGCCCTTTGCTGGAGACCCCTACAACTACCAGGAGGAGAACAAG